ATCAAAACCGGAAGGTTTAACCTTCTGTTGCAGCATCGCAGTGTCATGCTTGAGATTAAGCAACCGCTGACATTCGGTTGTAACCATTTGTAATGTCATATTTGGTTCTTGTTCAATTCGTGCCAACATCCTGGTACGGACATCTGCATCTTCTTCATTCTTTAGGCCACATATGAAAATCAAGCATTTAAATTGGTCCGCTGTGATTTCGTTTATTTTGAAGCGTTCGCACTGTCGATTTACCTTCCCGGCATACGTAAGATAATCGTCCTCTGGAGATTTTGTTATTTGGAAACATTTATAGCGAGTATTAAATAATGAGGACTGTTCATCGAAAATATCAGATAAAATCTGGACTGTATCTTTGAATGATACCTCTCTTGGATTTTGCGGTAAGATAAAATTCACATATTTATTATATTCCTGTGTTCCCAGTCTTCTTAAGAGTAAGCGAACTTTTGCTGCGTCATCAAGATGCGAGCATTCAACGCGGAAAATATCTTCACAACGGTGAAACCACGAACTGAAAATGACATTAGCTTCAGGATCATACTGGAATTCAGAAATAGAATTTATGATGCTTTCATGCTTATCTGATTGACAAGCTGAGGACGACTGTAATGAGAACATTCGTGCGAATGCATCCAAAAGCTTCGTCTGATTTGCCTCATTTTGTGCTTGCTGCATTTGAAGAATAGTTTTAAGGTCATCCAATGAAACAGGCATTTTGTACTGGATCAATCAATAGGAAAGAAGAAAAAAAATCTCCCGTCGCCAGTTGTTATGACCTTGGATCGCTTTTACCCCGTGATACTTGTTATGACTTGGCCTTGGTCTGTCTAATCTAAATTATGACCTTGACGCGCTAGGCTGAGTGGCTTAACCTTGAGTCTAATACGCGTGAGTTCGATTGGGGGTAGAGAGAACTATTCTAAATCCTGATTGGTTGGCAAGCACGCGAGTGAAAGAAGACAAGACAGTTGGAACACTAAACTCTGGATTCTCTGAATTCGGATTACTACAAAAATGTACATGAATAAATAAGTGCATATCTTGACCACGACGTAGGATAATTTGGAAAAATACAGTTGTGCCCGAAACAGGGAATTAGGGTAGAAAATATAGTGCAAAGTATAATGTTTAAATTACAATATTTTTTGAACAAAAAAGGGTATGCTAGTGAATGATACATAGAACGAAAGCTCGTGTTATGTAGAATAAGATAGGGACAAAAATAAATATAAGTGTTTTACAGGTTTTGAATGAAATGTAATAACGTCCCAAGAAAATAGCTTTCGTAATTGTCTGGCTTCTTAATTCCCCGTTCATAACAGAGGGAATCCCTGGAGATTTAGGTTCCCGAAAAGGAAAATTCATACAAACTTTTCCTGCGCTGAGTAAGTGGTCTGTTAAATAAACAAGGTCATCGGTTTTATTGCTAACAGACGACATTGAGGTCTAGTGACTCGTGTGGAGTTTTATGATAAAATCGCACCTGAAATCACCAAAACTTTACTCTTTATAGTACAGGAATCTTAGAGGTGACCTTCTAATGACATACGGTACCCCAAACACTTCAGGGCATCCCCCTAAATACTACTTCATCTCAGCCCCAACAAAAGCTCACGGATAGAACACAGAAACTGGGGGCACAACACAGCACGGTGGATTTAGCTGCCGACTGAGCTAGCCCAAGAGAATGGCCAATTTGACGGAAGAATTTTCGGCGAGACTCTAATTTAGGGACGAGCCAATCAGAAGCGTTTGAGCAATTTCAAGGTCACGGAGCCAAGTTCAACACGCGCTGCTAACATACAATCGGTTCAAGGCGGATTTTAGAGAGTAGGTGATTAATGAGAGGTTACAACAGATGGGACGACGAAACTATGATTTAGAGACGAGCCAATGAGAAGCGTTTGAGCAATTTCAATTATTAGCCAATCAGAAGACAGTATAAAGTAAAAATATATTACAAGAAAGTAATGAATTACAGTGGATATTCTTTTACATGATTTAAAAACTTGTTAAGGTTTGATAAAGTTTCAGAAGTTCTGAATTCATAATGCATATTGTATAGAAACTCGTCCATAGGGTTAGGGTTTGGGGTTAAAATTAGGGTTAACGGTTAGGTTAAGGTTAGGGTTAGATTAGGGTTTAGGGCTAAGGTTAGGGTTTTTGGGTTAGATTAGGGTTTGGGGTTAGAGTTAGGTTTGGTTAGGGTTAGATTAGGGTTAAGGTTAGGGTTAGGTTAAGGTTAGGGTTAGATTAGGGTTTAGGGCTAAGGTTAGGGTTTTTGGGTTAGATTAGGGTTTGGGGTTAGAGTTAGGTTTGGTTAGGGTTAGATTAGGGTTAAGGTTAGGGTTAGGTTAAGGTTAGGGTTAGATTAGGGTTTAGGGCTAAGGTTAGGGTTTTTGGGTTAGATTAGGGTTTGGGGTTAGGGTTAAGTTTGGTTAGGGTTAGATTAGGGTTAGGGTTAAGGGTTAGGGTTAGGTTCGGATTAGGGTTAGGATTAGGGTTAGGTTAGGATTAGAGTGCTAACATGCGATCGGTTTACATCGGGTTTTAGAGAAGATGTGTCTACCTACAGGCTACAAACCCTAACCACTAACCCTATGGACGAGTTTCTATATAATATGCATTATGAATTCAGAGCCTATGAACCTTTATCAAACCTTAACAAGTTTTTAAACCATGTAAAAGAAGAATATCCACTGTAATTCATTACTTACTTACAATATATTCTCACTTTATACCAACTGTCTTCTGATTGGCTAATAATTGTCAAGGTCACTTAAGATTCGTTCAAAGGTCATCCTTAAATTAGAGTCTCGCCGAATTTTCCACATAATCTTCAACAGTTTCATTCGTCCCCATTCGGAATACGGGAAAATAGTATTTCCTCTCTCATTTCAAAAGGATAAGGACACTCTGAAACGTATCTAACTGCAAGTCATGAAATGAGTCCGAGGACCTAAATTCAAGCTCAATGAAGTGGGCCTCCAATCACTAAGCCCTTACTCGTTAGAACATAGCCGTCTTAGAGGTGACGTTCTAATGGCGTACAGCATCCTTAACACTTCCAGACATCCCCTTAAACACCTACTTAAGTTAAGCTCCAATACAAGCCTAAGGGGTAATACCCAGAAACCGGAGACAGGACTCAGGAGAGCGGACTGTAGACACAATTTTCAACCTCTTGGAGTAGTCAATGGCTAGAATCTGCCGCCGGCTAAGATAGTTCAGTCGACTTTCCAAGAGTCCTTTAAGAGAAAACTTGATATATTCTTAAGGAGTAAAGATAGTATCTTACTTTGATTTACCAATTTCTCTATCCTCTATCGTTAATATACCTAAGTTCCTGTCTGGAGGCATTGGTGATCCCCTGCTGCTGAACACGAGGGCCAGTTAAACAAAACCTTCTTTCATTCCGTCCACAACAATTTGGACTATTTGAATTCTCAGGAGTCATCCAAGATGAGACTTGACATATTCTCAAGCAACAAGGACAGTATCTCTATAATTTACCAATGTTTTTCATCTTTTATGAATATATATATTTGCTAAGCTTTGTTCCAGACTACCTATTTCATATATCGCTTCAAGTTTTAAAAACAAAAATGTACTTTTTCAACACACACACAGTTTGGACTTGAAAGTTTATAGGACACCAACTACCATCGGCGGTCTTTCCGAAAAATCTACAAATTGTGGAAAATGGGTCGTCGTTCGGTGAATACTACAAAAAGTGGGAAGTTTATGAATCCAACAGATCAAGCGAGAAAAGAAGCAAGAAAACGGGAATTGAAGAAAAACAAAAAACAACGCATGGCTGTGCGTCATGCAGTGCTTAAATCCAAAGACCCTTTACAATTATTAGAAGAAACGACTCTCTATGATAAACAAGGTAAATTGTATGAGGATTAGAATAATTTAACTTCAGAGTATGATCCCAGTGTTCAGCTCAACTCAGTGAAAGGGTCATTCAGGAAAAACGCCGAAAGCTGTTGGAAACATTCGACCGTCTTGTTATGTTATTCGTAAATGGGTTCACATTGTTGTTAAAATTATATTCAGAGGAAAGAAGATGCAGAATATGCCAACCGGCTCCAAGCAGCTCGTCAAGACTTCGACAAAAGACGGCATGAGATGATGCTTTATTACGGTAAGCATTTATTCTTACCTTATGTCCACAGAACAAGTAAAGTTAGCTGAAAGAGTAAAAGCTAGTGAAATTCCGCTCCCAAAACTGCCGCAATCACAGATGGGTCTCATAAACGTCCGACATACCATTGCCTCCTGGAGGTTACGCTAAAGGTATTCTGAAGAAGTCATTAGGGTTAGTTAAAATATTTGTCAATAGCAATTTCACTCACGATACACAATAATCTTTTCCATCTATAAACTAAGGGTTAGCTCATTATTGCTGTCTCTGTAACTGCACAATACATGTTGGTCTGTCTATGCACTGGTTCATGCTTCTGTATGTAGTTGCATCTGGTGGACTCAAAACTACAAATATACAAATAACAGCTTTGTTGGTGGGACTATAATTTATGGACAATCTTTGAGCGACACCAAGGTAACCTTGAGAGTGTCCACCTAACAACTAAGACTGGAGGAGGGTTATGAACCAGTGTGAGGAATTAGGATTTACAGTCGATGATTGAGGTTATGAATTGGATTTAGGGTCAACATAAATATACGTACGTGAAAATTAGTTGTTACGAAAGTAAAATTGATAGAAAATTGCGATTTCGCTTATCAAGTAACATGAAATCGTCCGACCAAATCCC